TGAGATTGCCTTGATGGGAAAAATGTAAAGGGGGAGAAATGGGCAAACCTGGGGGCATAAATTTATGATCAGAGGTCGGATAGATATGCTTTGCTCCAAAGAAAGGACATTGATTATATTGGGATGAATTAGTAAACCGGAGTGTAGTGAAAAATCCATCCTAAAGCTCAGCAGGGAGCCATTTTGAACAGCCGGCAGCCATTTTGAAACCCGACGATCAGCTGTTTTGATCGTCATAATGCGAAGAATCGAAGTAGGGAACCGAGTCAGGAAGCGAATTTTGCCCATTAAAACATGGTTTTGCGATCGCAAAAGTGATCGCAAAAACCTCATTGTCAAGTCAATTTGTCCTTTAACAAGGTAATTGTTAAGCAATGCACCACTGTAATTGGCAGCTCTTCCCTCCCTGATTAGCACTCCCCAAGCCCATATAATTCAAGACACCTAGGCTTTCCAAAGTTTTTTTCATTATTGCATTAGACAGGGATAGAATTTTCCAGAGGTACACCATTAAGTTTGAAATATATAAACATGAATGTTCCTGTACATTCTGCATTCCCAGATTTTAATCATGTTTCCCTTTGCTGTATTGTCAGTAATTTTCTGTGTTCCTCTGTTGGATGTTGTTCTTAGTATATGCTTTATACAAAAAAAGGAAAGAAAATAAAAGAACTCAGAAAAATAATACAGATTCTCATTTTTGCAGTATAAAGGCATGCAAAAGCAGACGTAAACGCACTCAGTGAACTACTATAGGAACACGTACCAAACAATGGCATGCATCTGATTCACTGAAACATATACACAAGTCGTGGAGTATTTTCTTCTACCATGATATGTGTATCTTAACAATGCAAACAGACAATGTGTGAGAGAAATAGCTTAAGTAAAGTACTAATTAAATTTAATGTCTTCATATTATCAAGACTTCAGTGCAGATGACAGACTAAAAATATCAGATATATTAAAGGCACATAGGAGCATTTTATTACCAACAATGGTTAAAAGTCCTAATGGTATTTCTGTATAGTATGCAATGATTTGCCACAACTAATTGCAGCTAATTGATGAGGTTGTCAGGGCACATTTCACAACTGTGCAGCTGAGACATGCTCCAGCATGGAGCATATTCCATGGAAGGTGAGGCACAGGAAGAGAGAGTACGTGGAGTTGATGAAGCTCCTGGGAACAGAGTCAAACACATGTAAGTGGTTGATAAAATGGAAAATGAAGTGGTGTAAGACTGTATGATAAAATGGGCACAAAAGATTGGTCATAATATTGATTTAGAACACTGGGCACAAATTTGGCAGAATAATATTAAACTTACAAAATCAGTAAGTTTTAAAGAAAATATATACAAGATGCTTTATAGATAAGGACTTACAAATGGTAATGGTTTTATAATTGGATTCAAAATATGGATTAGAAAGTATAGATAAAAGGTCCAAGGGAATGGAGAAATTAGTAGGTATAGATATTCTGGAAAAATATTATATTGTTTCTCTTTTGTGGGTGATTTCCATTTTTAGCATAAACTGTGTAATAACACCGTAAGCAGATGTAAGAACACTCTTTTGCTCTCTAGAATTTTACCTTTACCCTCCTATCCCCTTGTATCCACACCCCAACTCTTATTCCTATTGAAAATGAGTAAAATAGAGAAGACGACACATGCTCCAACACCTCACCATTTAGCCACAAGTTAAATAAACCTTATGCAAATGCCAATAGATCTAGCCAACAGTTCATTACAGTGACCTATGGAACATTCCATCCTCTTATGACTGTTACAGTATTATACTGCTTGACGCCATGGCATCACTATACTGTATTACATTCTGCTTTTTTCCTATATGAGGAAGCACTGCTTTAAGAAGCACAGAGAGAAAGAATAAAAATAAAAGAGTTATGGCATTTAAAAAACTAATAGAGTCATTTCAGTGTGCACTTCCACAAATTATAATCTCCTTCCTCAAGCACAATGTGTCTAAGTACAGTGGTGCCTTGATAGATGATTGCCTCGCGGGACAAAAAATCCGCAAGACGATTGGTTTTTGTGATCACTATGGTGCCTCGCAAGACTTTTTTTCTATGACTGTGCTTCACAAGACTTTTTTTTTAGACCGATGCTTCGCAGGACTTTTTTTTTAAGACCGATGCATAGGGAACC